ATATGTCCATGCATGTAGTTACTCTTGAATGTATATATATCAGTATTACGAGGAAACATATCACTAATATTATCGGGAGTATTCCCGTTTATTCTATTATAAATTATGGAACATTTCATGATTTCAGCAACAGTAAAAATTAAGCAACTGTAAAAATTAAGCAACTGTAAAAATTAACATGAGATCTTGGTAAAATCATGAATAATTAATAAGACCACAAGCAAATCACGATGCGGTATTTAGGTCACATGTGCACACTTGCATGTAAACCGCATTAAAGATAAGCAAGTCGTATTAGAGTGATGTTTATAAAAGTTAACAATACTAATTGAGAAGCATGGATGCATGTTTGTGAAAGTTAACAATACTAATTTAAGTTTTAATAGCATGCTAATGAAGCGTGATATTGTCCCCATGGGCAGAGAATACTAATAAGTAATAAAATAAACAGATAAATTAATTTTACAAGAACGTAAAAATATATTCGCAACTGATCTTTATGGGCATTTAACAACTTTAAATGCCCTTAAAAAATTCATTAATAATTCACGAGGAAAATACAAAAGCAATGAATGTTTAATCAATGTTTGTAAATCGGATAAAGAATTGTCCTGATTTACATAAACTTCAGCTCTGATTTTCTCGGCTTAGGCAATGTTTATTTTTAAAATTATACTTCGCAAATGAACTCATCAGATGGGTCATTTTTTAAGTAGCCTACGATAAAACATTCGCATCCGATCTGTATCTGATATATACAAACTCTCGCCTTCGGCTTGAGTTTGTATATCAGATACAGATCGGCTGCTTATGTTTATCTAGTACATACAGATCAGTTGCTCATATTTTAACTAGTACATAGAGTTCATTAATTCTATTTCCCCATGCATGCAACTGCATAGTTCATTCATTAATACCATTGTCTAAAAATCTCTAAAATGTAAACAGTATATTATATTGCGCGATGCCGTTAATCGCAAAATCGGAGAGTATATACGGTATCGGTCGTTTGCAATTTGCCTCAATTGCTAGTACAGAACAAAGTCCATGGAAATAGTTTTAGTGTTATGCTTGCCTGGTTTAATAATGTCATTGCCTATTCTGCATTTTAGTTTATTCCTTGCGGCAGTAGTGCGGTATTAACTAGTGATATGGAGTAAAATAGATAAATTTCGTAAAAACTAACCTCTTATAATAAGTGTACAAATATTGAATTTGGCAGAATAGGCAGTAACTGAAATCAAGCAAACATTACACTTAATACTTCTACAGACATTTTTTTCGCATTAAGCGACTGAAGCACGTTGCCAACGACCTACTTTGTAATCAGATTTTGTGAAACGTGATATGCAAATTACTGAAGAAGTACACTAAATCTGGTCATGAGTCAAATTGTATGCCGATGATCTCCCCAGAGAACAAAACTCTACGTAAATGTTATTATGCGCTGATGAATTCTTTATTAGAGGTAAGAGGCTTTCAATTAATAATCGACAATAATATACCTAGTGTTTCCAGGAAACGAGAAAATATTATACTGATCACCATGCGAACGTACAAACATGTAACAACTAAACAGTGGTAATTTTTCCGCTCATAATTAAACGAACTGAGGAAATGTCATCAAGGATCAAGGAAATGCACACAGTATAAAAACGCCGCATTTGAAGAAAACACTGACACTTACATAATTTATTAGCACTAGCTAGAGTCGAAAGAGTTTAAACTGACAACGTACTCACATTGAAGCAATTCAAACAAAATGAAGTTGATTTCCCAAATAACAATCATTGTTATTGTTTTGGTAAGTTGTAAAATTCTTGTCCAAAAGATCTTGTACATATATACTTGTTATATATTGATGGGTACACTTCTGATATATTGTTTAGGTATTAGAAAGAAGTTTCATCTTAAATGTACCGGGTGTCCCAAAAAAAAGTACTCCGGTTTGATTCGTAATAACTTCTAAACAGGCAAAGCTTTCAATGAGAAATAACTTGCATCAAATAGAGGAATGACTAACTTAGATTTTGATATATTACAGTTGTATTTCACTTAAAAATTCACAAAGATATTAATGTTTAAAATCGGGAGCATATTTCTGGATGTGTCTGAAATATGCAAAAAACGGCGTATCAAATATTAATGAAGATTTGCCCGACTGAAACATGCACTATTACCAGTAAATAAATGACACTTGACAAATTGTTTATTATGAAACAAAGTATTATTATCTACAAAATAATTCGTCCGAAATCCGCATGTGTTCCCAGCACGAATACGTTTCCTTATTTCATGAGACCACTGCATCGCGAAGGATCGTCATGGATCGTTTGCAGTTCTGAATTAGGGCATGCTGTCACAATGGAATTGTGAATTTTCTAACTTCACATTGAATGAATTTTCTAACTTCTGCAACGTTCTGAAATCTTGTTAATTAAGAACACCCAAACTCTTTTTCCTTTCTTAATCTTGGCAAGTTCAGAATAAACTGAGAATAAAACACGATCAAACCATACAACTCCATAATTAAAGACATAACAAACAACTCCCCAGAGACATCCAACATTTTTGGAACAAAACGTAACAAAATAGTAGCGTTGATACTTTGATGTGTATTTGCAAAAAGCAATATTATTTCCTTCATTAAATAATAATATTCATCCTGCCCTAACCGAGAAATAATCAACTTTGTTTTGAACCCATGTGAAACATAAAAAAGTTAGGCTGTTTAAGAAAAATTTAAGCGCCTGCCTTCAAGGTCTCTCAAGTACCTTTAAGTTTGCAAAGCCAAAGACCTATTAAATACTTTCATAATTTTGAACGTTCATATTTCAGGAAACAACGAGCTAAGACTTACATGTAAGATGTCTAAATCTACGCTATATCCCTTACAAACCCTAACGACAATTCGCTGAAATACCAGTTAGCCTGATATGTCATTAAGCAAACAAACGCTGGAGTTAATATTTGATATGCCGATTTTCGCTAATTTTAGACACATACCAAAATATGCTCCCGATTTTAAACATTAATATCTCCGTGAATTTTTAAGCAAAATACAACTGTAAAATATCAAAATCTAAGTTAGTCCTTCCTCTATTTAATGCAAGTTATTTCTGTTTGATAGCTTTACTTGTTTAGAAGTTATTATAAATCAAACCGGAGTACTTTTTTTTGGGACACCCGGTACAATCGAAACCAACATTTAATACAAAATTAATACGTATGTATAATTATAACAGTAATTAAACACACGTTTGTTAGAGTAAAATCGCACATAAAAGAATCGGTGGAGTGAAACTGATTCGTAAGAAGGCAGCTCGATATGTCAATCCGCATAAAATCCCTTATACAAGAATCACGAAAACAAAACGTTATACTATATGAGCAAATATGTGTGACCATTCGTGCCCACGGGGGCACCATGCTTTCTTTCCAATTACACAAACCGATGGGCTATTTTGGAGTGAATTTCGTACGCGTGCGTTTCCATAGCAACAACCTATGGTTACCAAAACTGACATAATTTGAAAGAAGCAACATTAAAATAGATGAAAATCCGGATATCTGCTGCATCGAATCTAAAAATACGACGTTTAAAGCTATCAAACTGTTACATATTTGAATTTTTTTTGAAACTGTGTCGAGCCACCTTAAAATCCATTAATGCATCTTCCAAAGGCAGATATAGGCAGTTATATGCTTGATTTAATAGCATCGCAAATACAAAAACATGCATGGTCTGTTACATGTTTGGTACTCAACGAAGAATCAATATGAAACATTTTGTGAAATTCAGAGGATTTCAGATAGCAATTATTACCGCAATAATATATCAATCAGCTCAATAATGCTCAGCTCAGCAATAAAATCAGCTCAATAATGAGGGAAACGTAAATAAAAGATTTAAAACATTTAGCCAGGAACAATTGTTTTTGACGTGAAATAAGAACCATCAGTTACAAACCAACTCACTAATATATAAGTACCTATTTATATAAGAACCACTTCAGTCTCACATAAAAATTAGTAGTTCTTTTATATTCACGTTTTTACTGCATGAAAAACTTTTCCTTTGCGGCGTTAGCCAAACTTCTTATATGATTCGCAATTTTTATGAAGAGATTTAGAAAAGCTGCAAATTTCTTTATTTTCTAGTGCCAAACAACCCATGTACCTTTACGTCATGTCCAGTTAATACGAGATGCATTATAGACGATGGTTCAGCAAGATGCGTACCAGACCTAAATATTGATCCAATATGTGCAGGCGTGGCATGCAATCCAGGCGAAAAATGTGCTATAATACTTGGTGATAAAGCTAGATGTGAACAAGCATGCTTATCAGATCGTGACTGCCAACTTAAGCAGCTAGGTCTTGTTTGTGATACGTTATTAGGAATATGTAAACAGGAAACTGTTCGCCTGTTTTAACAAAACAATACAACAGTCAATGTCATCTGCAGATTGAGGCTTCTTATAAGAAAATTGTTTTATTATATAGATACTGAGTTTTCTGAATAATAATATTAATAATAATAATTACAATATTTAATCAGGGAGTCCACTCACGAAAGTGATTTTCAGTGGAGACCTGATATGATTCGGAAACTCGTTTAACTTATGCGAAAACTCGTTTCGCATTCACTGGGGAAAATCACTGGGGAAAATTTTGAAAATACATAGAAGGTCATAGAATGAAAATTGTAGGGACCTTTATTGGAAATAGAATGGATTTTGCATGGTTATCCATAATAATTGCATATTTCCATAGTATGGATATAGTATGGAAATAGGATGGATATACTATGGATTTAGTGGTGCAATTGCAAATTTCGTAGTATGGATTTCCCTTTTTTTCCAGTGAATGAGCCAATTAGACAAGACTTAGTGAAATAATTTTCTCATACGTGGGAAAATATTTCAGCATGAGCTCCACCTTTGAATTTACTATATGAGTAAATTCTTAAACACGTCCGAATTTATCATTATGATAAATTCGCGGCACATTTTGAATTTATCATAATAATAAATTCGCGGCACCTAACACTAACCCTAACCCCAACCCTAATCACTAACCACTAACCACTAACCCATAACCCCTAACCCCAACTTTTTAAACTTTTTTGAAAATCTAACTTTTTAAACTTTTAAAACTTTTAAAACTTTTAAAACTTTTGAAACTTTTAAAACTTTTTTAATAAATTTTTTAAACTTTTTTAAAAACTATTTTTTTGAAAATCTTGAAAATCTCCCCAGCCCCGCGCGACCATGACAGCCTCCCTTTTAGTGCCATTACATTTATAACAAGAAGTCTTGTCTAATGCGTATGATCATGATTTTATGATTAACTCTATTGATAAATTCTAAATTTGCCGCGAATTAGTTTATCATAATGATAAATTTGGACGTGTTTAAGAATTACTCATATAGTAAATTCAAAGGTGGAGCTCATGTTGAAACATTTCCGTCCAATCAATGATACAACCATGACGTATGAGTATATTCACACTGCATTGCCGGAATTTTCCCGACTTTAGTTATGTCTTTGTTTATTTCGCTTGACGCATAATATAAATTTTATTTTATGGCTCGATATTTAATGTTATTTGAATTAATTGCGTAGTACTTTCTACTGTTAGATTGTACGTATTTTATCGTTATTTTATTGAATTTTTCTTTGTATGAGTATATAACTTTTTATATGAACGAATGAACTATGAATTTACATCACTCACTGCAACGATAGCTATTTCTAAAGGCAAAGACAGACATTTCAAAAACTCATTAATAATTTATGAACCAATTATCCAATCTTGAGTAAGAAATTAGTCACGTGCATACGTCTTTATACCAGCTAAAGAACACTTTAACAAAAGACCATTGTTATGCAAACTATATAAAGATTTTTATATAAAGATTTTTACATAAAGATTTTTATATAAAGATCTTTATATAAAGATTTTTATGTAAAGATTTGACTTATTATGCATACGTTTTTGAAGCCATTTAAAAAACTCGCAGGTCGTGTTTTATTAGGTCTAAAGCCACTCGCGCTGCGCGCTCGTGGCTTTAAACCTAATAAAACACTCCTGCTCCTTTTTTAAATAGCACATCAAAGATGATAAGTTAAACCGCCTATATAGCTGTATATATAACATGTACATCTGTGAATTCAATAGAAGAAAAACATCAGTATCCGTAAAATAAATGTTCCTGATGCATGCCAGGAAGTGCTTTTGTATTGTATTTTCACACGAAATACAATATGTCGGGACTTCCCATGAAGAAATTTCATATATCCCCAAAACTATCGATTAAAAGTGATTAAAACAATCACTACATGCATATGGTAAAGTGATTTATAATATGAAAATGGTTGAAATCAGGTCGCCAGAACTGCAGGCATGTTCTGGAGACGGAATTGTTTTGCCAATAATTATAACTTTTCAAGCAAATTTACTGATTGCTAAACTTCCAAAGGGCTGATCACAGGACGAGTTTTCAACCTGGGGTGAGTTTCAGACAAAATCATAACACAATGACTTCTGTTCAGTTTCCAGACCATCATATCTTGATGGACTGTGGTGCAGTGCAACATAATTAAATTATGTCGAAATATTACTGCCCGAATGCTTTGAAACAAACGATATATATGAAATGAACATATCATCAGTAAAGAAAGGCATTGAGTGCATGGCATGCACGTAAACAGACGTAAGACAGCTTATATTAAACGCGACGTCGATCCATATCATGACTGAAGTATATTGAAAATTTCCGTGTCCAAGTGTCCCATATATAAGTCTTCCCATAACCATGCCACTCTACTTTTTTGCATGCACAAGTGAGAATGAAAGAATCACTCGGCAATTGCAATGTCATTGGTTGGTAATTCAATGTCATATTAATTTTGGACATGCATGATTCTTTCTGGTCCACATGTAGCGTGCGCACTTGAAGGTAATATTGTTACCTCCATAAACAAATAATTATTATTCTTTAAATCAGATATTTTCCTCAAGCATATAATACAGAATTTATAGCAGCGCAGCCCTTTTGTTATCATGCAACCGACTCCAAAACTGAAAATAAAAGTACTCGAGGAACTTTCCCATTGCCTGCAGGAATTACTGTGACCAGATTTTGTAAATTATTTTACTATTTAGTAATGAGATTTCTTTAGTAAAAGTTTGGAGTAACAAATCGTGTTCGAATGAGATCTTCTGTAATAGAGATGCTAAAATTGATTTGTTTATAATAAAACTTACCAATTTCGCTTCTCTAGACCAAACTTCGGTCCAAAAATTATTATTGCACGCTAATGGATTCAGCAGCTGAAATAACGCAACAGCTTCAAGATAACGGGAATTATCAGACTCATTTTGACCAATCACGAACGTGAATATAGACTTTGAATATTTAATGATGTGGATTATTATTTGAAAGCTCTCTATCTCTACTAAAGAATCTTCATCAATGCATAATAACATTGAAGTAGAGTTTTGTTCTCGTCTGGGATATCAGGGTGCTAGTTGTCAGTAATTCACGGACATAATCTATTTTAATCTTTACGGTAATTTGCATATCACGATGAAATTGTGGCTTTAACAGTAGGCAGTGAATTATCTCACGCGACGTTGTCAATCGGAAAATCTAAGAATAAAGTAGGTTGCTTGTAACTTGCCATAAACCAATTTAAGTATTTATAGCCTACATCGACAATGTTCAATGAGAAAATTATTCGATAATCTTTTTTACTAATTGTTCTTGAATAATAATCTTCGTAACATTAGTCAGTATCCATACAGTACACCAGACCAGTCACTCACACAAGGAACATGAACGGGTGGGGTGGCCAGAATGTATTGTAACTGGTAAGTACGTATATTTTGGTCTAGTTTCCCTTATTTCTTTGTTTATACGCATGGTCGATGGTGTCAATTTTATTAGCATAAACGGCGTATTGTCATCAATATTGGATTTTTAGTTGTTCGTAAACCTTGCTGTTAAAATGGTTCTTGAGTGAATTAAATTTTCATCTTTATAGGAGTAAGAAAAACGTTGGTTACGGGTAGCGTTCCAACCGAAAACTTGCCGGAGAAAATCCATGAAACGCCTAGACGTGAACGCCGATCGCTTGTGAAGAAAGGTGATATTGCTGTCTTTGACCAGCCGTCAACATCGTCTCAGCCTGAGACCCAAAATTCAGATATTGACGATTTTTAAAGCAGCTTAAACAGAAAATAATCCAGTCATTGCAAGTGTGAAATTCAAATTCACTTAGCAGACCGCATGGTGATAAAAGATATAATACTTTTGTTTGTTGAAACACTACGTAAATTAATTACTGCAAACGTTCAATATAAAGTATTAGGTCATCGAACTGTTTGAAAAGATCAAGAACTCCAGACGTTCCGAGGGATTGAAAGAACTAGACGACGACATGAAAAATAGAATAACAAGGGATTGGGATAAGGGAAAGCTTGGAGAAGGACATTCTCAAAATAATGGGAGGACAAACCCTCAAAGCGATACCTCAAGTGTTTTTGGCAAGAACAAATAAAGTTATTGCAATCAGCCAAAATGGGTTGAAGATATCATCCCCAAGTTATTCAATTTGCGCTCTCTTTGCAGGGAAAATCTCCTTCAACTTATAGCGAACTACGAAACAGTGGCGCCCTTGTTCTCCCCAGTGATGAAGTGTCCTTCGGGAGTATAGGAATTACTTTAAGCCCAAAGCTGGCATTAACAAAGAAAAGTCGAAAGCCTAACTGCGAAGGCATCATCTTTCACTTCTCTACAGAGATATGTATCAGTTGTGTTGGATGAGATGAAGATACAAACTGGAACTGAACAGGCTATAGCTTTCCATAGGTGATTTTGTTAAGTGCCCACTGACTGCATGCATGCGCTTCAAATATGAAAACTTGCAATTGATTACAGATAATATGCAATACAATGGAAATTTCAAATTTTAATTCATTATTTATTGACTGCTATTGAGTCATCAATATACCTGCTGGTGCTGATTCGATTAACAATAGTCGAAATGGTGTAAACCAATAGGTTAAAATATGATTGTATGGATTTTTCGTTGTAATATATAATTTTCATTAAAAATACTCAATATAAACAATCAATATAAACAATCTGAATCCAGATTAAAATTTCCCACGTATAGTATTATCATGAAACTGTATATATTTACATTTAATGCAGAAAATAATTCATAACTGCATGATCTATAATATTATACATATTGCTTTAAATTATTATTATATTATTATTTTTATTATATTGCTATAAATGCAATGTTCAGCATTTATAGTATCATAATATAAACAATTTTATGAACAATTACATGAACAATTAACTAGTAGCTTTTAAGTAAAAATTATGTTGTAAAACTTATGTCAATGTAGCATAAATTTTGTAAGGTAATATAGTGCTATCGACAGTACATTTTGTGACACATTATGGCAAATTGGTGGATAAGGCCTGTTTTGCCCTCAAGCACAGCATTCAACTTGCCAATGAGCGTAACAAATCCTTGTTCTTTCCTTAACTCTACAATATGAATATAACATGGCATTGCAATGTAGGTTTTTAGTATTTTTGCACAAGTGAACATAACAAATCCTACAAGTTGATTGGTCAAATTTGACGTATTAAGCTGTTATGTTCACCGAAATTTTCAAAATGGCGGCCAAACCGTTTTGTGGAAGTTACTGATAAATAAATAAGCGAAATTAAAATAAATTCAGTCCCAAAAAAACACGAAAGACTTTTGTAAAAATACTAAAACAATTATTCTCCTCAGGCTCGGTGATTATCGGGGAATATTCACCTCGACTTCGTCTCGGCGAGTATTCCCCAATAATCACCTCGCCTTCGGTGAGTAATTGTTAATTATTAATGTAAATATTTTTAAAACGCTCATTAATAATTCATAAACCTTGTGGAAAATCATGCCAGCCATAATATGTTACGTGGAGTGACTTTATATCTGATATTTATATCATCTTCGTTAGTATTCTTTATATAAGGGAGCCAGCAATGAACATTGTGGGACTCCGAATGTTATTGGTAAGGGAGTAGATGTCGCACCGTGATCAGTTCAGGCCCGATAACGGCGACCTGACAGGTAGTTTCCAAACCACAACAAGAGAGAGCCAGATAGATCGAAATCGCGAAGTTTTTGTAACAGTTAGGAGTGGTCAACGGTATTGGAAGCCTTGAAAATGTCCATGAAGACAACTTCAGTTTGTAGTCCTTTATCTAATCTTTCCCTATATTGTGTAATGTCGATAGTAATTGAGATGTGCTAGACTTTGCACTAAAGAAACCATATTGTGCTGAGTGAACGCTTTCCTGTATGCGTAGGGGTAGGTGGTTTCGGACACAGCGTTCAAGAGTCTTGCTGACAATGCTTAACAAAGAAATGGGAAGGTAATTTTCCACGTATTCTTTTACATCTTTCTTGTGTTGAGGGATGATGTTGGCTAACTTCCATTTGGTGGAAATCTGTGATAAGCGGAACGACTTTGTGAACTGGTAGTGTACAGAAGGAGCAAATTGAAATACACATTCCTTTAAAACAAGGGAAGGAAACCTTCAGGACCATGAGTCTTGAAGGGATCTAAGTTCTGTAAGGCTGGCCGAGGTGATGAAGTTAAGATTGTCCCGAGAGAAGTTGGTGTGGACAGAATGGAAATATTCATTGAACATTGTGTTCAATACAAGGCTTCCAATACCGTTGACCACTCCTAACTGTTACATCGAGCGTTCAATGAATATATCGAGCGACTTAAAATGGAACTTCCATGTATCAGAAACAAGTCAAACGACCAAGAAGGCTGCACCTCGTTTCTATTTATTGATACAACTCAAAAGAGCAGCCATTCCAACTAAGGAACTTCTGAAATTTTATACTACCTGTATTCGCCCGATCTTTGAATATGCATGCCCAGTTTCTCACAACTCGGTACCCAAGTACCTATCAGACGACATTGAAAGGCTGCAGAAGAGAGCTCTATAAGAATAATCTACCCTTGGATGCATTACACTGATTCCCTCGAAGAAAGCGGTCTGCCTCGCCTCTTCGAACGCAGGCAGCTCTTGACGTACAAGTTGTTCAATGAGATCACTCGAGATCAATCCCACAAACTCAGATCTCTACTACCATCTGAAAATAACTGTTCATACCAACTGAGACGTAAAAGGCAACTTAACGTTCCAAGGGCCAAATTAAAACTGATCGGTTTATGATTTTTTTTATTGTTAGTAATCGTAAATATTTTTAATCATTAGGTTTCTTAAATTTTTATAATTGTAAAGTTTTAACGCAATTCAGCCATTATCAGCTGTAAAGTCGTTTAAAACTGAATAAATCATCTATCTATCTATCTATCCATTGTTGCAATATCGCGAGGTCTGTTTGCATGTAATATAGTCTCCAGAATGTTGGAATTTGTTCTTGAGACTGACTTAGGGATATTTTGTCCTTGAGACTGACTTAGGGATACTTCCAGTGTTCGAGTTGATTTTAAAGACAGACCAGGAACGTTTTAGATTGATTCGTTGGGTGTTTCCTAAGGATGAGAAAAACAACTTTCTACTTTCTTTAATTAATTTTTAACGTCCGTTCTTAGCTGGTTGAATTTTGCCTTCAGATATGCAGTCCGGCCTCGGCTTAGAAATCTCTTTCGGGCAGTTACATTTCTGCGGTTTAGGTAATGTACACTCGATAGCAACAGCCTCTAAATTTTTCAAAGAAACAAGCGAAATTTGATTGCAATTTATGAAAGTATCTTGTTTGATTGCAATAAGTACGCCTCTCCCAGATCGTCCCAGTGATCTGTCAGTTCTGTAAATGTCATACCCAATTGGTAAGATTTCTCTATCAGTCACGAACATTGCATCAATCGATTCTGGGTAAACCAGCTCTTGCAGCCTGATCAAATTGGAAATATGACGATTCTCCTGCGTAAGGAAGGTCTTTTTGAAACTCCTTGCATTCATGTACATGCAAAACAAGCTAGAATGTTTTGTTCCGGCCGTCTGTTTACGCGAACCAAGGTTATCACTGTATGTCTCCACACATCAACAAATGCGTAGACAGAACAGTAGGATTGAAAGTAGTTTGGCAGTTTGAGTAATATTGAATTCTACGATTCAAATATTTACACTGCAAAAAATCAATTTGTTTTAAGAAAATATTACTTATTTTAAGCACAAAATTACTTGTTTTAAGAAAATTTTACTTGTCCCGTGGGTAAGTAAAATATTCTAGGTAAGAATCAGATTTCAAGAAAATTTTTCTTAAAATAAGAAAATTAATCTTGGTTAGAACAAAATTCTTGGTAAGAAAATTTTTCTAATTTTGTCCCGTGGGTAAGTAAAATTTTCTTATCAAGAATATTTTTCTTATTTCAAGAAAACATTCGAGCAAAATTTTCTTATTTCTAGAAAAAAATTCTTAGTTTCCCAAGAATTATTTTCTAGTAATAAGAAAATTTTGCTAGAACGTTTTCTTGAAATAAGAAAAATAATCTTAATAAGAAAATTTTACTTAACCATGGGACAAAATTAGAAAAATTATCTTGAATTGAAATCCTGCTAAGAAAATTATTCTAGTTCGATCCGGTGTGCATGGCTTTTAAGAATATTTTTCTTAAATGACAATATGAAACTAGAATAGTAATCTTGGCATGATTTTTTGCTGTTGTCATCCTACAATATAAAAACAATTAAGAATGTTTAAAATAATATATTTACCAGCTGTACATGAATAGGTTATTAAAGTAATTACTGATAGATAAATGTAAAAGTTCTCACACGTAGCAATATTGTTCAATTTCTTGAAAAGCCTTTACCATGTCAGACTGCTGAGTCTGGATGGGTAGTCTAAGTCGAGCAGGTACAGTAGAACAAAGCCAGGAAGTAAAGATGGCTTTTACAGTTTCGCTATTCTCGAATGTTGCCAATAGCTCCATGTCATGATCAGCCCTGATACAGTATGTCATTGGGTCTCATTTGCAGCCAGGTAGTCAAGTCTGTGTCTCCTTCCTTTTGAGGAAAAAAACCCACAAAAATAGTTTTGGTAACAACTACACAACCCTCATTAATTAACAGCTTATGTTTTCACTAACAAGCTCAGGGGTGGAAAAAATATTTTACTTTCTGGGACCGCAAAAAGTTCATTGAAAAATTTTCTGCAAATGATCAAGTAAATCGACACTCGGCCAATGTAACTGTGTGTCACCTAATAAGTTGTCAAACTGGATGTCATGCTACATGTATATTTACAGAAAAAAATTTCAGTGCACTGAGAATCTTAAAATATAACATAAAGCTAATATAGATAACATGCATCAAGGGTCTGATCCTAAAGTAAATACAGATGCAAAATTGGCACTGGAGGGCACTATCAGGTGGATCCATGCTCTCCCAAAAATTTTGAAATCAAGTGTCCCAGATTGGCTAAAAATGCATTTTCCATACAACAATTGTTACATCATTCTATAGTCTAATACATTTATACACTATCGCAAAACTATCGCACTATTAAGATGGTTGCACTTATAATTGCATTTCTGAGGTCATGGTGTTAATTTTCCTCTGAATTTCTCCTTTTATCTGAATTATTACAATTTTTTCTTTCTGAATTATTGATACTTTTTCCACCCCTGAACAAGCTATCCCCTGGGGTTATAGACAGAGCGAAATACTATGATGGATGGAACAAGAGACACTGGCAGATAGTTTTTGTTAGCCCATATTAACTTTATCTCAACTATACGAAAGCTCAAAACTAAGAAGATGTATATGTACAGTGTACACTAAATTTGATTCAGGCCTTACTAAATGAATTTTATAAAATGAAACTATAACCTCACCTCAACAAAGTTTATGATGTCCAGTTTGCTCTTAGCAGGTTGACTTTTTGATTTGAAGAGTGAATTAAATGTTCTTCATTAGGTGAAGTACTTTCTGTAGAATTACATACATAAAAAATAATATTAAGTTACCGGTACATTTTTAATAAAATCATTGTGATATTTTGTGAGCTAAAAAATGCAATTTTGATTTTTCATATCATTTATTAGTTACCGGTACAGCATAAACCAAAATGCAATTTTCATTTATTATTTTCTATTAACGACACCTAATGTCGGTGCTAATCAGAGGTGGAAAAAATATTTTACTTTCTGGGACCGCAAGAGAACATTGAACATTTTCTGTAAATAGTCAAGTAAATGGACATTTGGACACTGTAATTGTGTGACACTAACAAGTTGTCAAACTGGATGTCATGCTATATTTCACAGGTAAAAATATTTCACTGGAAATAATATTTCACTAAGAATCTTAAAATATAACATAAAACTGACATGCATCAAGGGTCTGATCCTAAGGGTAAATACAGATACCAAAAAAGCTAGGGCACTTTTAGGGGACACTATCAGGGAGATCATGCATGCTCCCCCCAAAAAGTTTGTCCCAGATCAGCTAAAAATGCATTTGCCATACAACATTTTTTACATCGTTCTATAGTCTAATACATTTATAAACTATCGCACTATTAAGGCGGTTACACTTATAATTGCATTTCTGAGGTCAATTGGTGTGAATTTTCCTCTGAATTTCTCTTTTTATTTGAATTATTACAATTTTTCTTTCTTGGGAAAATATTTTCTGGGAACTCAAAAAATTTTCTGGGACCAATGGTCCCGTGGTCCGATACTTTTTCCACCCCTGGTGCTTATGAATCCAATGTTGGTACCGGTACTCTAATTAATAAAAAAACAAAATGATATCATTTAATTACCAGATCACTGTTCATGTGGTGGCTTCATAACTCCTTCATAACTCCAATTGGTCAATCAGCTGCTGCTTTTCACAATTCCTCATGTATGCACTTTCTTCTGCTTCTTTGGATTGATTGAGGCTCCTCTTTGGATTGATTGAGACTCCTTCTTCAACAACCTGCAGACATATTGATGAGTGATAATGTAAATTTTTTGAAAATAACTGCATACCTTATTCCAGAGTTTTTATAACCATGATACTGTAGCTCATATATACCTTACTCAGTAGTCAGTGGTATAACTTAAATACCTTTTTGACCATTTGTCATCAGGGCAAGTTCAACTTGCCAAGTTGGATATGAAAATTAGTTGCCGTGAATAAAATTCACTTGCCATGAGACAATGGCGACTGGGGTACCCAGGTAGGGGCTATAAATTAAGGGGACAACATGTCGACACATTCTTCCACTGCTCTAGATGGCTATGTTATACTGCTTCAGACTAGCTGTGGCCCACAGAAAAACAAAATTTGAATCCATGCACAAGTACAACATGCACTGCATAAAAAATTTATCTGGCAATGAAAACATAAACTTGAAGATGCCCAGCTTTTTGTGACAATGATATTCACTTGCCCCGGGCAAGTGTTAAATTACAACTGTATTACTTACTGAAAGCATAATGATATAACTTGGCATCCTTAACCAATTAACCACCATCACTCTCCCACTCACAAATAAAATTGTCTGGCATTAGACAGGAATACAATAAAGGGTGCGATGCAACTTCATGGGTTAAAATTTGACATTTTGACTGTGGGACCATAATTTCTCGAACTCAAATTGACCATAATGACTCAAATTTTCCCATGAAAGGAAATGAGTAATTTATTTGTATTCATTCTATTATGTAGGATAGAGTTTATAACATGAGAAAGAATTTTTGCAGCAAAATCCATTAGATTGGTATAAAATGTAACAGCGATGGTGTTGGTATTTGTGATTTAATATGCTATTGCCTCATATTCCAGAAAACATTCATATGGTTATGATTTAACCTCAGTTGTATGTGAGATAAGTGCTACTTGTTTCAGTAACCTGTTGAGTGATGGCACTGACAGGTAAAATCATCTGACATTATACGGAGTAAAACAATAAAGTTGTGGCACAATGCAGCTTATGCAATGTACGGCCTAGTGTAATATCCCGTTAACACCCCATCTCATCTAGCTTGCAATATGAACTCTATCGATTGTTTACGGTAAAGTGAATTATTCTACTTCTTTCTGGCCTAGGCAGGATCCCATTATTTGTTGCCGGGATTGCATCTGCCAGGACGAGAAATTCTTATACAAGCACTCTATCATCCCTGCCAGGCGGAGAGGTGGGGTGTATTCCGTCTATATATTAAACACACCATCCTGGATTAAAACCTCCTGTCCAGCCATGCCAAATGTTATCACATAAACAGGCACAATATATCACACATATATGCAGGGTTAGACATGAGTGAAGACACTGGCGTTAGACAGACCTGTGAAAAAAAGTAGGGCGCACTCGGGCACATTCCAGCTCAATGCCAATGGGTTAAATATTAATTTAAAGTCAATCCATTTACATGCTATAAACCAAGAAATATGCACTGAACTGATAAGCTAATATTATAATCAATTCTATATATTGAGTTAACAATTTTATGATTCAGATAGATAACATTGTAATTGTAAGTTTAATACTCTCAAATAATTTTCATGTTTTGGCTAATAATAGGCTTGAAGCAATCAGCAAGTAAATATTATTCATATTCACATATTGTTTTATAATAATTATACTATGTGGGTTCAAACATGCTTTCTTCAGTTTTGTCAACCAAGTGGCAAGTGTAACCCAGTATTTACTATGTGTTTATTCAAAATTTGAATTGTTGATTTTAACTAATATTTGACGGAATTGAAATGAAATAATTCAATATATAAAACCTCTCGCGCGCAAATTCAAATTTAGCAATAGCAGACAGGCTATAACAGCCACAAGATAAAATGAGTAAATACGGTCGATGTACGTTATAATTATACGATATAAACAGTAATATTTCATACCTGAGATCAATAAGCCTTCGGCAGGATTCGGAGTCACTTATCCAGAACCAAATATGATAAAAAAACACGATATTCTTGAGCGAAATATGCTCAAACGAAAAAGTCGAAAATTTGTAAATCACACTTGATACTTGATACAGGCATGTACTAAAAGGCGAAACGTCGAAACGAAACGACCGAAACGAAACGGCCGAAACCATCGAAACCACCGAAACGACCGAAACGAAACGACCGAAACGAAACGACCGAAACGAAACGACCGAAACGAAACGACCGAAACGAAACAACCGAAACGACCGAAACGAAACGGCCGAAAATGTAAATTACAGGAAAATTGAAAAATGCGGATACGGACGGACGGACGGACGGGGGAAGAGGCGGATGGACGGGAGGGGGGGGGCAGATGGATCGACGGAGGAAGAGGCGGATGGACGGGGGGGGGCGGCTTCATTTGACACGAAACTCAATTTTAAAATCAAATCCGAGTTTTGTTGAAAGGGATATATTAGGATATATTATAAAAGACTATTATTAATCGTAATAAATTGTCCGCGAAAAGTTGATAAAATACATGTGGAAATGCGGGGTTTTTCAAACCTTCGTAACGC